CTCACCGCCGACTCTCTCAGGCGCTCTCTCACCTCCCGTGCACTCATGAACTCCTCTCTCATGTCCTTCGACCACCCGCATTCTCCATCTTCCTCTTCATCACTACTGTGTTCCTGCTTCACTCCCATCTTGCTGAACTTATCCATCCCCGCTAGCTTACCGGCTAGCTCCGTGACGCAGTTACGACTCTCGTCCGGATAGACGTCCCTTGTTCGAAAAGTTCACTTCTGACACCAATGTAACGTTCCCAAGATGAGTCGGAGACAGGCTTGTAGTTATTAGGCTTTAATAACTAGTATTTGAAGACAGATGATAACAGGTCAAGTACACTTCGTGGGTTCTACCGCACACTCCACACACACTAACACTAACTTCTACACATACCCATATATATAGCACTGTCTACGTCACAACTCCCCGCCCTCCCCCGTCCGCTCCACCAACCACAGGCCCGCACCTCAGCCACCATCACGGTGCAGCTCTATGATTGGCAGAGAGACGGGGGATGCCTAAGTGACACCCTGAGTAGCCTATCAGGATCGCTACAATACTAAGAACATTCTTGAAGAAAATATAGTCTTTATAACAGTCTATTTCTCCCTTACACGCGTTACTTTTATAAAATCAGTCATAATCACACTGACAGACAAGAGGGGTTTCCGCCACAGGTTTATATGTACGTAATCTGCGTGACTTGCGCGTCCACATCTCCACGTGCAGTGCTGCATAAACATGGCTCAGGCCCATTCCCAAACCGCCCCCTACACCCTACCCCTACACCCTACCCCTCCGTTTGCGCGTTCACGCGGAGGGTCCGCCATATTAAGGGCTGTTCCAAAGCAACGAGTGTGGAGCGGTGTGGAGGGGGAGTGGGCTATCAAGCCCTTTTTTGTATTTTCACAAATAGAATAAAGGTTTCACAAATCTCAAACTGGGTTATAAAGAATCTTTAGCCTCTCTGGGATAATCCAGTCCAAATAAATCGGCTATGCAGCGATTTAAGAGGTTCAAACACGGAGGATTGTTCGCTCAGCTCTGTAAATTAAATGTCCCTTAACTTTCCCCTTAACTGCCGAATCGGATGCTCTGAATCGGAAGCCAACTTCAGCGTCGTCTACACCCCTGCAATGTGTGTGAAAGACAATACACTTTACAGTATGTTTTTTTAAATTGAAGTTACGTTGGTGTTTGTGTTGGTTGTTGACGGCAGTGTGTGCCCCCCCTTGGTAAATGTATGCCCCCCCATTTGATTTGTTCTAGAGCCGACCCTGGGTGGAGGTATGCCCATTATTTTGAGTTCGTCCGAAGAATAGACAGGAATGTGACGGTGAGGTGCAAACTGTGTCCAGGCCAGAAGCTGTTATCCACTGCTGCAGGGACGTGCACAGGTACGGGCTAATGTTGCCCGGGCAACGGCCCGTTTGGCCTTTTTGGCTGACCTGCCCCTCTGGAGATAGGGGCAACTGCTTCAAATCACGTGACATGTGACGTCCAAACCAGCAACTGCTTCATTTCCTGAATGAATCAACTCACTGGTTCGCCGTCCAATCAGGTGATTCAATGCACTGCCTCGTCTCTATTCTGACAGGTGACAGGTTGAAACAGTTTCAAATTTGAGCGCTTCAACACTTTATGACCGCTCTAAACAATGCGCAATGTGTGGATTGTCGTAGTTTGCATTGTTGCTGTTGAGTTGTTGTTGGTATTGCATTTTAATTGTAGTGTCATTATAGAGCAAGCCAGGAAGAAAGATAGGTCGGGAAACACTTCGAAATGTGGAGAAGTTGTGAACAAAAAGACAATGATAAGTAATATAAAAATAGTTGAATATTTTAAGGAATAGATAGCCCAGTGGGTAGAGCCGGCGGCCCGAATGAGGTGATGTCCTCCGCGCAGCTGGTTCAAAGCCCGGAATGAGTGTACTTTTAATCATTGCTTTTCAACTTTAATACTTTAATAACTGATAAAAGGCCCTCTCCTCCCAAAATATTTTCCAGCACTCTCTAGTCTCTTCTCAATAACCCAATACACACAATTATCAATCTTTAATTGCAAATAGAACATGATATTCAGTCTTAGTATGTGTGTGCATCGAATATTTTTCAAGGCAAAGATACGTTAAACGCACTGCAGCCTTGCACTTCGCCAGGAGAGGTCGCTGTAACTGAAGCTTCGAGAAATTAACCTATTTCCGACACAATTGTCCAAGTGGTTCGATGCTTCATTCAAAGCTTCATTTTGCCATCACTAGACAGAGGAGCTAGGAGCAGCAGTCCCGTTGTCATGAAAGGGGAAGCTAACTATATACAGAAAATGTTTTTGTGGATCCAGGCTAGAAACATGTTCATTTTCTGATGTTAAAGGTGGGGTAGGTAAGTTTCAGAAACCGGCTCGAGATACACTTTTTGTTATATTCCATGGAATGCTCTTAACAACCCGATAGCAATGAATATCTTAAGTGCTTTGACAAAAAATCCATAAAAAAATGTCATCTGTGGAACCCGTAATACTGTAAAAAGTACAACCAATTGGATATCCGCCCTGTCTGTCAGCCTTCCATCTCGTGCACACACAAATGTATCTCGTGCCCTCATTGGGCGTGCCGTCATTGGGCATGCATTGCAGCAGTACTTCAATGACTCGCCAGCAACAGGCGGCCACTTTCACCAGTCTGCTGACGTCATGTGCGCGTTCATGTGTGTTGGAGAAGGTGCTCTGTAAGGAAGTCTGAAGGAAGGGGCGGATTCTTTTCGGCTGTGTACTTTCAAATTTTAGTGCACTCGAGCCGGTTTCTGAAACTTACCTACCCTACCTTTAAGTTGGACATTTTAACATAGGGTCTACGGGAATTGCTCCCATCCATCGCCTACAGTTTGCAGCATTGGGCTTCACCGCACTCCCGGAGTTCGCCGCTTGGCTCTGATAGGCCAGAAGTCGGTTTGATTGCATTCGGGCTCGATTGCAAATCCTGTCTGTTGTGTTGCATCGCAATTTTGGACATCGAATTTTAAACACCGACATTTTTGACGTCGAATTTTTAAACACCGAAATTGTACATTTGAATTTTTTTCACTTGAATTTTTGGGATCTGAATTTGATTATTCGAATTTTTTTAACCTGAATTGTTACATTTTTATTTCACATAGGTAAATTCGGAGCAAAAAAATTCAGATACATGATTTTCAAAGTAATTATTTTCAATGTTATAAATTCGGTGTCTGATCAAATTCAAATACTTCTGTCTCTTGTTTGCTTCCATAGAGGAGTGAAAGCTGATTGCGATATTTCAGCAGAAACTTCGGTTTAATTTGCCTTTGATTTGTAACATGCGTCCTTCTGCACTTTAATGTCCTTGATTACAATAATTAATTAAGATTTGTATTCTAATATTACTTTTAATTTCCATTGTTTTTTTAAAGGTGTTATTATTATTATTATAAGTAATAGCCTTGTATTGATTTATGTTGAGTTATTTAATGTTTAATATACAATAATAATTATACCTTAGTCTTACAGTATGTGCTGTTGACCGATACAAAAATATATTTGCAAAGGGAACTGCTGTTAATTCTCTATCACAAATGAAACCTTTTTGACCCTTTCAATAATAATTCTTTTTTAAAGTTGCATTTCTAAGCGAGTTGATAAAGTACTGTTGGGTTCAGGAAAAAGTTGATTAGAGATAGTGTATTAAGTATTCAGGATATCTTAACCAAAGAAAAGATTCATAAAGTGAGGAAGGATTTACTTTTATAAAATTAAGAATCTTAAACTAAATCTTAAAATAGAGCAGTGTGATATTTAAAAAAAATCCGTAGCATCACATTTAAAAATGGTCATAAAATAAAGATATAATCCAGCTTTTATATTATTTGGTCCATTCATTTTGCATTTGTTCCACAAGGAGAGACGGCAACACTTCATTTCTTAGAGCAGGACCAAGCTTTAATAGAAACATATAGTGCAGTTTACACCAAGAGATTAAGTTTAAATTCAAGGTTCAAGGTTTTTTATTTGTCATACGAACATAGCTACAGTGTAGTTATGACGATGACAATCTTACGTCACAGGCTCCTCCAGCAGTGCAACACAATAAAACAGATAAATATAGTGCAAGTAAATAGTAAATACAAAAAGAAAAATTGTTTAGAAAAGTGAAATAGTACAATAAGAGTCTATGCAAGTTATTGGAATATGATATATTAGATAAATCATTTCGAAGTAGCAGCCAGATGAATGTTATGGATGTTGTTTCAACAGTTCAGGTGTTTAACAGTCTTATTGCCTGTGGGATGAAACTGTCTCTGAATCTGGTGGTGTTAGTCCGGATGCTGCGGTACCACTTGCCAGACGGCAGCAGACAGAACAGTTTGTGGCTGGGGTGATGGGGGTCTTTTATAATAATCCTGAGCCGCTGGGAGTAAAGGTCCTCCATGGATGGCAGCTCCATCGTGGTTCTGTGCAGTTTTGACCCCTAACATCGCTTTAGAATGTGTGTGTCTGTCTGTACCACCTTAAGCTGTTTTATTCTGTTCTCTGAAGATTGCAGCCTCATACTGTAGGCCCTTGAGACAATTTATTTTTATATTTGTTTATGCCCTGCAGAGAGCAAATGTGCTCATTAAAAACAATACCTTTACAACTCTTAAATTTTTTGAATTGCGTCAATCTTAGTAGCACTGAATTCAAATTGACTTGAGGCAGGATTGTATAAATCTGTGTCTGCATCTCGCCTAAACCCCCAGTAGCAGTACCTAAAAAAAGTCCATAAATACATACACATGCTTACAATACTTTTTGGACAACTAGTGCAGGAACTTTGCTACACTGCTGCAAAGTGGGAGCAAAATTAGCTTTACTATTCTCTATTCAAGTATAACTAATATCAAACATGTCGTAGGTTCAAACTATACCACTTGGGTTCCCAGAAATACACCCAACAAGTGAGAACAGTCCTCCAGAATGTACATGCTCTCTGTGCAAATTCTCGAAGTGTACAATTCTTTCTACACTTTATTTGTATTATTATTATTATTACAATTTGTATTATTTATTTTCAGAACATTTTCAACAAGTTGTACTAATGCAAAGTGGTGGGGAAAACTTCTGCCATGTCCAAAAGTGGTGGAGACGTGTCCCCAGCGTCCTCAGTGTAAATGACGCCATGAAAGTAGCAAGATAACATGTGAACGTAAATTCACAGTTGATAGTTGTACTTTTGAAGATCCCTAAAGCCAAAGCGAAAACACATCATAAAGAGTTTAAAATCTAGAAGGCTGGACGTTGACGGTGCAGCTGGCCTTGATGTCTCTGAAGGTGGAGCAGTCGAAGTCGGCCACCAGAGTCCTCTTACCGCACTTGTAGGGAATGAAGGAGAAGTTGACACGAAGACGGTTGTTTGGCTTTATGTCTGGAAGCCTGCAGGGATAGCAAATAGCAAAAGGTGAAAACAAGACTCAGAATGGCTCAGTTTGTGGGTGAAACTCGTGGTCACACACACACACACACGCACGCACGCACGCACGCACGCACGCACGCACGCACGCACGCACGCACGCACGCACGCACACACACACACACACACACACACACACACACACACACACACGCACACGCACACGCACACACTCACTTGACTTCCACCTCTTCCTTCATCAGTCCACTCCCAGAGAAGGTCAGAGTGCAGTTGGTGAGCGTCTCTGTGACCATGGGGTTCATGAAGATCATCTCTCCTCTCGTGGCACGGTTCACTTTGGCAGAACCTTTCACCTTGAACGCACATTTCACATTTATTTCAGCAAAACTTAATCTAAGATTTTGAGTATGAGAATAACGATACAGTATAAATATATATTTGGAGATACAGTGTTGAAAGGGGGAGATAAACAAAGGCGATTACATTTTCCACGGGCTCTGGAGTGGAATTTGCACTGAAAAAACTAAAACGTTGACTTTGATCAAATGTATCATCATGTCAACAGATTTCACATAACTGAATTAGGTTGGTTGAAACTAATATGTTTGATTTAAACTTAATATTATTGCTTTCAACTTACCTAATACAGTTATGTGAAATCTGTTGAAATAATACATTCAATTAGAGTCAACGGTTTTTGTTTTTTCCGGTGGCCAAACATAATTCTCTTTTACTGACCTTGAGGGAGATGGGGGGGTCGATCAGCACAACGTCGTCCACAGCCAGGTACATGTTGTCGGGCCTCTCTTTGTCCGTCACCAAGGCTGAAACCTTCAAGCTGTCACAGTCCAACATGGGCTTATGGTAGGCCGAGAATGGGACTCGGATCCGGACACGCAAATCTCCAGGAGACAGAAAAGGAGAGTTAATATAGGTTTACAGCAAATCCTACAAAAAGATACAGATATTCCCACCCAATCCTCATGGTAAATTAGGTCGGAGTGCAAGAGTTTATGAGATTATTTTCTTGTGAATGTATCATTGTACAATGTCAGAGTAATATTGGGGTCATGAAAGGAGCGTCCACGCCGCGGCCCTGGGAGTATTGACGAGATCGACAAGATCAACTAGATCGACTAGATACTGCTAATCCTATCACCACTACAAGCAACAGTTACAAGCTACAAAACAGCCACAAGCTACGCTAGCCGCAAGCTAGTCTGCACAAGCTACGCTACAAGCTACGCTGAAAGCTGTAAGTAAGCCACAGAACACCAAGAGAAAACATCATGCCTGGAGATAGACACAGAGGACGATGCCGTAAACGAGGGACCCCTCAAGACCGGCACTGACAGTCATATCTGTGAACATTGAAGAGTTCTCCTCTGCAAAACAAACCATCTTAGCCGACCTATGCAGCAAGCGGACTTGGCAGAGTTTAATGAGAAGGGACAGCAATGTGTTCAGCTGTGGCTGAACCACATCTAACCAAGCCCTGTAACTGACTGCCTTGTGGACACGATAAGAAGAAGAGTAATATTATATAATATTTATAAAAATAACACAGTTAAAGGAGACACTTTGCATTTTTGGTACTTTTACTTTTCCTACTTTGAAAAATATTGATGCTTACCCTTGTACTTTAACCAAAGTTACAACATTTTAGTAAAAACTTTGATTCCAGGACTTTTACTTGTACTGAAGTGTTTATGCATTGTGGTATTTAAAAAAGAAAATGTGTGCAACCACTGTAAATGTGAATATTTGTGTGTAAATATAACACGTCAAGCAGGGAATATCCCATACCCCTTTATTAACAGAAAACACTTTGTTTCTTCAAATGTAACTTCCATCCCCAAACTAAGTTATTATAATATGTATTACCTTCAGTCGAGTTGCAGTATTTAGACGTTAAGATTTTGGTTTCATTTAGCTTAGGTTACTTTATTTGTCTCTGTAGTTAGATGTTACCAGACTTTTAGACATCCGCCTCCAAAACTAAACAGCCCCATCAGAGCAGCAGAAGATCACCTTTCCCGGGCAGCAGTATCTTGTCCTTCACCTCGGTCTGGATGTTCGCGGCCAGGAAGCCGTCGTAGGTCATCGCCTGGACGCTGATGTTGATGGAGAGGGATCTGACGGAGCTGCTCTCACTGCGCAGCAACAGCTTCAGCCTCACATCCTTACCGTTCCTCGGTGGGCTCACCTGTAGCAAACAGAGTCGACTGAATACGTTAATGAAGTGTTTTTGTCTTGAAGAAGTTGATGAAGAAAAAGTAATTACATATTCAAACTTGTGCTGTTGAATGCTAACCACCTAACTAGTTATGTTGTTTCCATATTCCAAGTGTAATTTAAGAGTTTTGAGTCTCCTCACTTTCATTCATCTTTAATAACAATCCTGTGTTTATAATATATCACTTTAAGTTGTAAATCACTAAGACATATTTGGTACACATTATTAAATCTGCTACAAGCAATTCATGCTACATGGTGGTGCCCTGAGTGAGGCCCGAGACACCAACTGTTGGTTTGATCAAGTAATTAAAAAGGATTTCAGTATTTGGGTAAGGACACCAACAATAAACTGCCTTACCCAGCTTTACCCTCTACGGAGCCCCTAAAGGGACATGGACAAAAAGAAAAGCGTACTTGTGCTCAAGAGAAAGTTTCTCGTGCGAAATAATTAGTTCCTCGTGATCACGAGAAAGCTAGCAGTTCGCACAGGAGGAGGTGGAGCGCACAGGAGACCACCAGCTCACTGCAGACTGTTATGTTTATGTGTGGGAATAACAGTACAGACTTTAATTTAGTTATATTTCAAAGTTGGACTTAATTTTAAGGACATTTACCTGCAGTGTGGAGCTACTTATTGAAGCACCGGAGCACATCGCTGACTAGCACAATTGGTCAAACCAATGAAATTGTATTTATATAGCACAATATCACAATGTATACTTGTCTAAGGGGGCTTAACAGTGTGCACAGAAAACCCAGGAGGTATTAAAGGTCTCCTATTATACTATTTTTAGGCATATATTGTACGTCTCAGATATATACAAATGTATAAAAAATGTTGTATGAAGTGCTCAAAATACAAAACAGATCACCCATTCTAGCCATGCCTCATACCCCTCTATTTCAGCCCTGTTAGAGAAGTGCTTATTCTGGGTCCGTAGATTTAAAAGAACAAAAGAGAGGAGGGGGAGCTTGTGCCTGCTCGGAATTCTACCGAGATACTCAGCTAAATGCTGCAGCGATGAAACGCCATATCATGTTCAGAACCACATCAAGGATTATTTCTGAAACAGTATGGAGCTTTTAGTACATACTCTCTCCAGTACAGGTTAGCTCTGAGTGTTAGCGATGCTTGCTGATGTAAACAAAGACCATATTACTTCCAAAACACGTAGCGCATTGTTTCTGATAGCAACGTTTCTGATAGGGCCGTGGGCGTAAAGACAGCCCACATTTCAGATATCACATCATATCGGCAGAAAATCTGGATCAGCTCCGTTGTACCTCCGTTTTTAGAGATTTGGGTACGGAGGAAAAGAGAGAGGGTTTTGTTTTCTGACACTTTGTGAGTTCCCTGACACACTGGGTATAAAAAAGTGCATTTTGCATGATCGGAGACCTTTAACACTCTCCAGCATAAATTGGCTGAGCAGGACAGTCTGTAAACCAGTCTGCATTGATCTATGAATTCATGTCAGTGATTCTCCCCTATCTGCTGTCCACAGCTGATTTTACGCAGCCTTCACTATGTTTACCTTCATTAGATCAGATAAAGAGCAGCAGGCTGCTAACCACACACATCTCTACACGCATAACATTAATTATAATTTAGCATGATGTGTGTTTCTGCTCTGCTCCACTCTGTGTGTGTGTGTGTGTGTGTGTGTGTGTGTGTGTGTGTGTGTGTGTGTGTGTGTGTGTGCCCGACACCGGCACTTGTTTCCAGAAGATATCATGATGCTGTGGATCCATTCTCCGTGCATTTTGTGAACACCCACATATACCCATGGACTTGGTCAGATGTGTGTAACTGTTCATAAGTAAATTCTTCTATCTGGTTTATGCCTTGCCCCAGATCAGACCCACTAGTTCACTCAATCAATCGATACAAGTTTAATCCTAAATAATTAGATCCAAAGGCGCAGTGCTGTCAGAACCTACACAATGAACGTGACTACTTGATGCCTCATAAAGATGAATGACAAATAAAACAATTCAGAAAGTAAAGTGCACATTTCAAGCACAAAAGAAAACACCTCCAGTTGAACAGCTCTGATGGATAACTTAAGGGAGTTTCTCTGACGCACCTCTTCAAACTGCATGGTCACAGGCGGAGGGGGAGGTATGCTGGTCGGTGTTTCTGCATCTGTACCCTCTGGGGTCTCATTCCCAGCTTCTTGCTCCTCCTCCTCTTCACTCTCATCATCTTCCTCCTCATCACTCGGGATAGCGTCATCTGTCTCTTCCACAGCCACGTTGTCCTCCGTCTCATCATCGTCCTCTCCCTCCTCAATCTCATCCTCATCCTCATCCTCATCACCATGCATGTTGGATTGGGCGTAACGAAAGACCTCCCTCTCCTTCTCTGTTCCTGTAAATTGAGTTTCAAAATCTATTTCCAGAGAAACCTACGGCTGTTTACAGAGGGGGATAATGTACTTTTACTTCAGCAAAAGTAGTAACACCAAAGTGTATAAATATGAGTTAAAATCCTGCAATAAAAACATTCCCTTATTTAAAAGTATAAAAATATTAGCATCAAAAGAAGGCTACATAAAGTTATTTTTGCACTGGCCTATTACAGAAAAAGATACACAAAATAATGGTATCATATATATTGCTTTTTATATATAAGTTCTTTTTTTACTATAATGCTGCCAAGTAGCTTGTGAATTTCCGTTAGGGATCAAAACAGATTTACCTTTATTAGCACATAACACATTATTTGTTGATTATATTTTGTATTAATAATCTGAATCGTTAAAGTAACTTTAGTCATGAAAACATTTAGTGGACCTAAAAGGATAATATTCTTCTCTGAATTGTGGCAAACTGGAAGTATAAAGTAGGAGGAGACGGGAATATTGGAGTGAAGTACAAGTACCTCAAAACTTGAGTAACTCTAGATAATTACTCTTCATCCCCGGCATGTGTTCTTCAGGCGAACTCACCCTCTCTGTATTTGTAACTGTCGGTGATGTTCAACCTCTTCTTGGAGCCGACAGACTTGGTGGAGATATTGTGACCCACCCTTGCAGTGTCAGAGAAAATATTCAATTTGGAGCCATCAGCCTTAACCTGATAGGACACACAAACAGTAGAAACACAAAGAAACAATGAATTACACAAAATCAGTAAAACATTTCTTTGAAGCCATTTAGCGGTGTGTGTCTGCACTGAAAATAGTAAAACGTTGACTTGTAAATGTATTATGTCAACAGATTTCACATAACTGTATTAGGTTAGTTGACAGCAATAACATGAAGTTTAAATTAAGAGAATATTCAACTTGATATTATTGCTTTCCATTTTGTTGTCAATTTGTTGACATAATACATTTAATTAATGTCAGTGTTTCAGTTTTCCTGTGAACGCTGATTCGTCATATTTAATAGTTCAACATTTATTTTCATGCTGTTTTGTATATAGCAAATTAATCATTATTTAGTGTTATTAATTAAGTTATTACCCATAGTAGTACATATAGTTTTTCACCAGGGAAATAGAGGCAATCAAAGCCATTGCCTTATCGTTTGAGGGAAATCAACCGAACACACTACAATCTTGCCTGGACAATGGACTGCTACCCGATGCCTCTATGGCAGTTTGATCTCGAGTTAGTTTTCTGTTTTTTTGGTTTTTGAAATACCAGCTACACTGTGTACTGTGTGTGTTGATGAGGCTCACTGACCAGCCAGTCAATGCAGTCGGCGTTGACCTCGGCGAAGACAAATGGGATGTCATATTTAAGGTTTGTCTCTCCTTTTAGGATGGCTTTCACCGGGGCGGGACCACAGCAGAAAATACCTGCAGGAAGAGAAAAATAATTCAATAAAAAAACATTCCAGGAGTGTTTACCTCACTTAAAACTGCATTCTGAAAGATTTTGAAATGTCTCACTTTGGTGCCAAGTGGTGGTTGTATTATTTTTGACGTTAAAAAGCCGGCCTATAAGTTTGCCTAAACCTAAAGCCAGAACTCTCACATCTGTAATTGTGAGTCCTCCTAAACCTGTCCCTACACTGAAAAAACGTTAACTTTGATTATGCGTAATATGTCATCAATGTTCACATAACTGTATTAGGTTCGTTGAAAGCAATAATATTAAGTTGAACCTAATATAGTATATTTAAACTTAATATTATGGCTTTCAACTAACTTAATAAAGTTAGTTGAAATCTGTTGACATAATACATTAATGATTCAATTCAACGTTTCCGTTTTTTACAGTTTAACTTAAATCTGAAAAAGTCATAATTGTAAAGAGGTTAATTGGATCTACAGGGCTAGATAGGGTTAGGGTTTTGGGGAGCACGGTGCACGGGCTCTCGGGTAAGTATTTTTGTTTAAAAACCTGAAATAAAACCAATACAAGTTTATAAAAGCCCTGTTTGGTCTGTGTTAAAAAATGAAATGAAATAAAATAAAGAAAATGCAATAAAAGGGATAAAAGAGAGCAGCGGCTGAAGCACAGAGTGTGCGGCGGGGTTAAAACCTCATCCCCCCGAGGGGGTCTCCCCCGGTGGTGTGTCCGAGGCTGCATCCCACAACATCTGGTAAAAGACCTGGTAAGCAAGCTAAAAACATCTGGCTAAAAGGGCCGAGGTTGACTTTGTTTAAAATCGTCATGCAGGTAAGATTAGTATTAAATGGTAAATGATAAATAAATACATAAAAGTGCTTTGTAAAATCACATCAACCCAAATAATACAAGATAACATATACAATACATAAAATATAATATATAGAACTATAAAATATAAAGTATAAAATATGTCAAATGTAAAGTATAAAATACACACGGGTTAGTAGGCACACGGGAGGGAAAATATTTTAAAGTAAAGTCAACCAAGTGTCCCTAAAAGTGTTTAAAACCCAGGCCGAGGTCTAGAGAGGTGGTGCAGGTGAGACATGAGACACGCCTCGGAGGATGTTTAGAAATACTTTATTAAAGGGATTGTTCCAGGGTGTTTCTCCGCGGGAGGCCCCAACTTCCATTTAAAATAAATAAAAATAAAAAGTAATAACTCAAATATAAATAAAATAGTATAAACAATGTTTATTGATAGCGTGAAGTACAACCGCGTGACTCAGTCATTTTGTACCTTAAAAAGCATTTAAATACCGCATTTAAAATCTGATGAACTCAGTGTGCATCTGGACCCGGTGACGACATTACCTATTGACGCAGCAACCACTGTAAGTTATATTCTTGTTTAATTAGACTTCTCTGTTTCATTTATTCGACTCTGTATAAATTGTTATTGTAGCGTAAACGGCTAAATCGCGTTTGAGAGATTTTAAATCTCAGATCTGCTCAGGCGAAACCTGCTTTACAGGTCTCAGCACTCAAGCCTTTATTAATATAGGCACGGCCAGTCTATTGATAGCGTGAAGTACAACCGCGTGACTCAGTCATTTTGTACCTTAAAAAGCATTTAAATACCGCATTTAAAATCTGATGAACTCAGTGTGCATCTGGACCCGGTGACGACATTACCTATTGACGCAGCAACCACTGTAAGTTATATTCTTGTTTAATTAGACTTCTCTGTTTCATTTATTCGACTCTGTATAAATTGTTATTGTAGCGTAAACGGCTAAATCGCGTTTGAGAGATTTTAAATCTCAGATCTGCTCAGGCGAAACCTGCTTTACAGGTCTCAGCACTCAAGCCTGCATTAATATAGGCACGGCCAGTCTATTGTCGCCCATCAGCTGTAGATAGTTAACTAATTAGAGGGCCGGGGCCCTACAGCTGTGAGAACTGAGCAATCAGGCGTCCATTTCGGGTAGCTCTTTCCTGGAGCGTCAGCTTCAGCGTCAGACAGCCGAAGACTGACAAAGACATTGGAGTCCTGCGGGAGTAAGACTGACAAAGACATTGGAGTCCTGCGGGAGTCACGAGGGAGGCAAAAAGGAGGCAAATCCTACTCTGATCGAGCTGGTGTCTTATTTCTCTTTTCTTTAGTTTTCTAGCCCCGCATGCTATAATCATGTGTATTTTCTCTATTCCTGTTCATGTGTCTTCTCGCAATTATCACTGGCCCCGTGTATCTCCTAATCGATATAACCGGCCTGCTCTCGTCTATCCCACGTGCTCCACTGAGATCCAACATCTAGTTTCTGGTGGCCTGTGGAATTGCCAGTCAGCTGTTCCTAAGGCTGACTTCATCTCTGGCTACACCTCCCTGCAGTCTCTGGATTTCCTTGCTCTCACTGAGACCTGGATTACTCCATCCAACACATCCACCCCAGCAGCACTCTCCACTGCATATTCCTTCTCCCATACATCCAGACCCACTGGCAGAGGAGGTGGCACTGGTTTCCTGCTCTCTCCCAAATGGAGCTTTTCCCTCTTCAAGCTACCTAACTTTACTCCTTCCACCTTTGAATTCCATGCCGTCACAGTAACCCATCCTATACAGTTAACCATTGTTGTTCTCTACCGTCCACCAGGCGCCTTGGGGGACTTCTTGGAGGAATTAGATAATCTCCTCTCACTCATCCCTGAAACTAGCCCTCCCGCTGTACTTCTCGGAGACTTCAACCTCCAGACGGGGAAGATAGACGAACTAACATCTCTGTTAACCGCCTTTGCTTTCTCACTGTCTCCGTCCCCACCGACTCATAAAGCTGGCAATGTCCTTGATCTCATATTCTCAAGGAACTGCGCTACTTCTAACCTCTCTGTAAACCCGCTCCACACATCCGATCACTTCTTCATTTCATTCTCTCTATCCCTTTCCAAACATAACAAACTAATCTCTTCTCATCCTGCACTTGTCCGCCGTAACCTTCGCTCCCTCTCCCCCTCTAGCTTTGCCTCGTCGGTGCTCTCAGCCCTCCCTTCCTCTGATTCGTTCCATCTCCTGCCTCCAAACTCTGCTGCAGAAACTCTCCTCTCTACTCTCTCATCCACTCTGGACTCGCTCTGTCCTCTCACATCTCGGCAGGCTCGTCAGTCCCCTCCTGCTCCCTGGCTAAATGATGCACTGCGTGCTAATAGAACCGTCCTTAGGGCAGCAGAGCGGAAATGGTGGAAATCCAAACACCGTGACGACCTCCTAACCTATCAGGCTCTCCTCTCCTCTTTCTCTGCTTCGATCTCTCAGGCAAAAAGCACTTTCTTTCAAGATAAGATCCAATCTTCCTATTCCAATCCTAAAAAACTATTTTCCATCTTCTCCACCCTCTTGGACCCTCCAAAAGCTCCTCCCCCCTCCTCACTTCTGTCAAGCGACTTTGTTACACACTTTGAAAAAAAGGTTGATGATATTCGCTCTTCTTTTTCTGACTCACCTTTACTCACCGCTGGGTCACCAGACCCTCCTTCCACCAACACACTTACCTCCTTTTCCCCTCTCTCTCCAAGTGAGGTTCTTACCCTCATTACCTCTGCCCGCCCTACCACCTGTCCTCTGGACCCTATCCCTTCAAACCTCCTTCAGACTATCGCTCCTGATATTCTACCGTTTCTCACCCATTTCATCAACACTTCTCTAACTTCTGGTCACTTTCCAAACAGTCTCAAGGAGGCAAGAGTAAACCCTCTCCTAAAGAAACCCACTCTCAACCCGTCTGATGTTATAAACTACAGGCCTGTCTCTCTCCTCCCGTTCCTGTCTAAATCACTTGAACGCGCTTGTCTTTAAACAACTCTCCTGTTATCTCAATCAGAACAACCTTCTGGATCCGCACCAGTCTGGTTTTCAAGGCAGGTCACTCCACAGAAACTGCTCTCATTGCTGTCACGGAGGAACTGCACACTGCCAAAACTGCATCCCTCTCCTCTGTTATCATCCTATTGGACCTGTCTGCTGCATTCGACACGGTGAATCATCAGATCCTCCTTCGCACTCTCCAAAAACTTGGAGTTTCAGGCTCTGCACTTTCCCTCCTCACCTCATACCTGAAAGACTGTACCTACAGGGTGACTTGGAGAGGGTCTGAGTCCGACCCTTGTCAATTAACTACGGGGGTCCCTCAGGGCTCTGTTCTTGGTCCCCTCCTCTTCTCCCTGTACACAAACTCGCTCGGATCAGTCATTAGCCCGCATGGTTTTTCTTACCACTGCTACGCTGATGACACCCAATTAATTCTGTCCTTTCCCCGCTCAGAGACCCAGGTCGTTGCACGCATCTCTGCTTGTCTAGCTGACATCTCTCAGTGGATGTCTGCTCACCACCTCAAGCTCAACCTTGACAAGACTGAGCTGCTCTTCCTCCCGGGAAAAGATTGTCCCACTCTTGACCTAACAATCAACATCGGCACCTCAGTTGTTTCCCCGACTCAGACTGCAAGGAATCTGGGTGTGACCCTAGATAACAACCTGTCCTTCACTGCAAACATTGCTGCTACAACCCGTTGCTGCAGATACACGCTTTACAACATCAGGAAGATACGTCCCCAGCTGACTCAGAAAGCGACTCTGGTCAGGTTCTGGTCCAGGCTCTCGTCATCTCACGCCTAGACTACTGCAACTCCCTCCTGGCTGGTCTACCTGCATGTGCCATCCGACCTCTGCAGCTCATCCAGAATGCAGCGGCTCGTCTGGTCTTCAACCTTCCTAAATTCTCCCACACCACACCGCTCCTCCGCTCCCTTCACTGGCTTCCGGTAACTGCTAGAATCCACTTCAAGACACTGGTACTTGCTTACCATGCTGCGAATGGATCTGGCCCTTCCTACATCCAGGACATGGTTAAACCGTACACCCCAGCGCGTGCACTACGCTCTGCATCAGCCAAACGACTCGTTGCGCCCTCGCTGCGAGGGGGACCCAAGTTCCCATCGGCGAAAACACGTGGGTTTGCTGTCCTGGCTCCAAGATGGTGGAATGAGCTCCCCATTGACATCAGGACGGCAGATAGCTTGCACATCTTCCGGCGCAAACTGAAAACTCATCTCTTTCGACTCCACTTCGAGCATTAGAACTATTAACAAAGCACTTTTATACTAATAAAGGACTGGCTTATCTAAAGCCAGTTGAGTAGCACTTGAAATGTTTGGCTCTATGAAACCTGATGTACTTATATGATTCTGTTTTCTTCAAGGTTGTGTCTTCCTGGTCGAATGTACTTATTGTAAGTCGCTTTGGATAAAAGTGTCAGCTAAATGCAATGTAATGTAATCTAATGTTTAAATAAGAAACGGGGGATTAATAATATATGAAAAGACCCTCCTCTTTTGGAACCTATTAAAATAAACCGTGCACACACAGAATCAAGTGTAACATGTGAAATATAAATAGTAATAGAGTAGGGTTAGGGTTAGGGTTGCGAGAGAAAGTTGGCCCATATCTCAGACATGTATTTGTTTGTTTGAAGGAAACTAAATTATACTTTATTTTAAAGTTTGGATTATTATTAATTAAATAACCTTCTCTCATGATACATAATAATGTGCTCAAGGTGCAGCCAAATCACCCACAAACTTCCGGCAGTTTTTGTGTTCTTTTTTAAGGGTACCTGTTTATTAGTTTATTAGTTTATTAGTTGGTCTGTAATGTTGTTTTTCATGCATTATAATAAAATAATATTTTGTATAGTGATTGTCTTTCTACCCGTCTATTGGATATTTCAACAGCGAAATATTAAAATAACGACGAGCCATAATTACAAGGGATTTGTTGGGAATATAAATGATCAATCATCATTTTTATGATTTTAGTCAAACTTTCATCTAGAGCACAATAAATATGGAAGTTCTTCTGAGCAAAACTATAAACTCCAAAGGATGAATGCTGTATTATTTTGTAATTAAGAAAGTAATCAGCATGAACTGTACAATCAGACAACGTGTGTTAAAGTTTATAAAGTGTAACATCCGTACCGTCGCTCTTCTCCTGTGGTGTTGGATCCACAACCTGCCAACCGTCAAATGCTCCGTCCTCTGAAAGATCAGGGCGCCTCATCCACGCCTCCACCCACACGTGGTAGTTCCTAAGACATTAAGTAACAGTTATATTAGGGCTAGGCGATAGTGAAATACAATAACAATCAGAATCTCTTTATTGTCATCATACTTTGGTATAAGGACATTTTGTTTGGATCGCTCACTAGAGTGATAGTTGGACACAAATAAATAAAAGCAGTGATAAAAGCAGAGGTAGCAGCAATGACAAGGCACTGCATGGTAAAGCACTGAGATAAATGAAATGTCAATGTACATATTTACAAATGTTACAGACCATACAATGTTATAATACAAACTACACAAGTTTAAATATAACTGGGTGTTCGTAAATCAACTTTATGTTGACGAAAATCATATATCGAGAAAAGGTTAAAAAAAGAAGAAGCATATACTGATCCTCACTAACATTAATTCATCAAAACTACACCAAAAGGTTTTGCTTCTCCATTCACCATAGAAACATGCAAGATAAACTGAGTTTTCCTAAAGGGGCCCTTTTATGCTCATTTCATTTGTGTATTGTCTCCATGCTTTAATGTTCAAAAAGGCCTTTCTTTTTCTCTTACTGCCTGTACTGCCGCACCTCTTTTCACCCTCTGTCTGAAACCAGAGCCCCTATCCCGTCTAAGTTTATGATGTTAGGACAATGTGTTGGTGGATGCGTTGTCGCGCTTATAAATATGTAGCGGTTGTTGCGAGTGTTTATTTGTGTGTGTTTGTCTGGTATTTGCCTGTTCTGTGTATGGCCCTGGGTGGTCGTAAAAGAAAACGTAGTCGTGAGCGCGTCTGTCAACTCAAAGTTGATTGTTGTGATTATTTTGTTTTAAAAAATAAAATCACTAACTCATGGTGGGGGTGTTACGTGCTCCCCTCCTTGTTTTCTTTCTGTCTCCCTGCTGCGCAGGTGCACCTGGTCTGCCCCTGGCTCCGCCTCTGCCCAGGTGTTTCCAATTCGCGGATGTATAAAGAGAAGCTGGAGGAGAAGGATGTCTCGCCCTTTTCTGACGCCAGGAGACACTCTCCTGTGAAGACCCTTGTTTATGTACTGGGGCTTGAGCTATACTGTGTGGTGTAGATGTGTTTATGTTTAGCCTGGAGGACCTGGTAGTCCAGTTTTCGCGGCTTTCTTTGTTTCCATAGGGTTTACGCCTGGCTTTTGGTTAGGGGGGAAGCTCTTGGTCCTACGGCCCCTGGTGTGGCTGGCTCGGGCTCCCTCCTTCCTTTTGTTCTTTTTAGCCAGTCCTCCAGACCTTTTTCTTTTCCCATTTGGCTTTTGTAAGAAAACGGCTCAATAATAATAAATGTCCGTTACTAAGTACTGATGTTGCGTGTATTTTTTTCATGTTGGAGTAGAGGCTGTGGCCGTAACACATGCTAACACTTACAATCCCGTCATTTAGCGATAGAACGTTTTTACTTTCTGCATTAAGTAGTATCACTGACTCGCATCATTTCTGGATTTTTGGTACACAACAGTCTGAACTGTCTGTCAACAAAGGCTTAGCTGCTATAAAAAGGTTTAGGAAGCCGTGCGTAAGAAATACAAATATTATCATACCATGGCGCTGACCACGCGGCTGACGTAGATGGGGTTACAGCGAGCGGAGACATCGTCAGCAGGGTCTTTCTCGTGTTTGAGGTTAAGGTCCAAAATCAATAAACTAATTTCCACCATGTTGTCCTCAAACTGGAAGAAGGGAGAGAATTTTGAATTGAAATATATAATATATTTGAATTATTTAAACTTTAAAAGATACATCATTTGCAGTTTGCTTTACAGTAGATCATTCAAACTCAAACTTAAAGTTCAGCCACTAAAATGTCAGATTTACAATTTAAAACTTACATCTGTGATACTAAAAAAAGAGTATTTTGTACTTGAATTCTAAAAAGTATATAAACAAATGTTTCAAAACACTGTGTGTGTGTGTGCGTGTGTGTACCTGTCCAAAGTCCCAGGCTCCAGGGCAGATATGTCTTTGACTACCTTTGTAGATGACTCCTTGTTCATTCATCACATACTCCTTTATCTCACTCTCATCCTTCAGATACACCCAGTCACACACACACACACACACACACACACACACACACACACACACACACACACACACACACACACACACACACACACACACACACACACACACACACACACACACACACACAACACACACACACACACACACACACACACACACACACACACACACACACTTTTTATTTGTATTCAAATAATACGATAACATGTCCTGTATTCAACATCTTACTTTAGCAATCTTACTGAATGGCAAAAGAGGACAGATGTAACTGTAAAAACCCTTTTTCCCCCCTTTTATTATCTTAAGTCCTTCTGATATACTTTTACTTGAGAAACAATTTGTAAAGCAGGATTTATACATTCCACATTAGCCTACTGGTGGTACATTATTTCTTGCATAGTGATTCAAGTATTATTTTCTTATTTTTTACGCAGTTGACAACTGATACAACAAACCATTTTTGTCACCAAAGATAAATAAATAAATAATGTTTTGTTTGACTATGCCATCGACCAACCCCAACCCCCTTTTTATTTAAGTTTGCATGCAGTTTGCTTTTCGAACTGGGACATGAAAAACAGCGCAGAAGTAACGGGCAGAAACCCTCCTTTTTACGCAGCGGTCCAGTCAGAGACATCAAACGGCAACACAGTTGCCAGTTACTTTGGCATTAGGGCAGGGATATCTAGATACTTCCCAAGGTTTGACATAATGAATTAATTGTGCTACTTTTAAAGCAAGGAGCGATGTTTTCAAATCTGTAATCAAAGAGGTCCTCAAAAACGCAAGCAGTTCCTACCGTTGGCTTTTCAAACTGACAAGAGACGCTCTAACTGTTTTTCAAATGTAACAGTTTGAAAAGTAAGCAAACTGTCTGATTGTCTTTAGTTTCCCGCTGTCGTGTGATAGCAACATGGAGGATTTTAACATTAATTTGAATATATTAAGAGAGCACAGTAATTTGGAGTAATGGTTAGTGGCTGATGAGTCCCCAGTGAAGAAAATAAAAAGACAAGAGGGACAAGAAAACAGCGGAGAAGTAACGGGCAGAAACCCTCCTTTTTACGCAGCGGTCCAGACATAGACATCAAACGGCAACACATATTCAGTGTGCAGTTCCTTTGGCATTAGGGCAGGGATATCTAGATATTTTCCAAGGTTTGACATAATGAATTGTGCTACTTTTAAAGCAAGAAGCGATGTTTTCAAATCTGTAATCAAAAAGCTCCTCAAAAACGCTATCGAAGCAGTTCCTGCCGTTGCTACGTTAGTTCAAACGGTAACAACAGACTATTTTTCTTAGAGGATGCATGTCAATTTAAATCAATACAACTATTTTTTAAATCAATAAAATAATTTTCTAAATCCATAAAAGCATTTCAATTAATATTGGGATTCATAACGTTACTTTGTTGAGAATGTGGCCATGTAATAAGCGGGATAATGTGCAGCGACTTGGTCATTATGGGGAAAAGAACACCTTCATGCCGATCTAGATCCCTCCGCTTCGCGTCGGGCTCCTGATCAGCCTGTCGGTGTTCTTTTCCCCATAATGACCGCGTCACTGCACATTATCCCTTACGTATTATAGCGATCAGAGAGTCTCATTTTGTATCAATCCCCCCAACCCCACACCCCTTCTAAATACTGGACCCATGGAGTTACTGTATCATTAAGGAAGCTCAGAATGGGTCATGTTTCTTCAAAAAAAAAGTGCCATATAGAGCAACTGTATCCGTACTGGAAGCTCAGGAAGAGGCATGTTTTCAAAATAAAAGTGCCATTTTGGCTTTAGGCCTTTAAGCACAGACATATTTAAAACACATCATTTAAAGTAAACCCAACCTGTCTTTGCAGTGATGTGCAGCTGCTGCAGTTTAGGGCCGAAAGGCTGCGCCACATTCAGGGTCAGTTTGAAGGGCTGACCTCGCCTCACGATCAGCTGATCCACAGAGATCTCACTGGTGTGGTGGAGGAAGTTGTTGTTCTTAGGGTGGAGGTCCACTCCCTTAAAAACTGAGAGGAAAAATAAAACAACCATGAAAAAGCTGAAAAAATAGCGACCGTCTTTATTCAGATTAAAAATGTAAGATTAGTGCAGTTTTTATGGTTGCTCATAGTGGTCCCAAAAGATGCTGGAAAAGTATTAAATAATAAATTCATAAAATACCTAGAATAAGTTTTGCACAGGATTGATGTGATTTATTATTATAGGTTCAAACATTATAGGCAGTTACAGAGGGTCTTACTTGAACATGAAATGGATTTTCATTTTCTTTACCGACCCTCTTTGAAATTCTGTAGAATGTATTTTAATTTAATTCTGACTTGCTCTTCGAGAACGTTTTTTTCCTCCTGTGCTTTACTGCAGTTTACAAACTGTTTGTGTGTAGTTGATTTAAGACCTGATTTACTTCTTCAAATCTCAGACATAGTTTTAGTCATGTTTTTTTTTCAGAGATGAACTGCTATAAAAAAAATACTAAGCAGACGCTAATATTTGAGACATCTTTTAATCCTGAAACGCCCTCATAGGAGTACTTTGTTTACTTCTGCGACATAGTGACATCACTCTGTAACACTCACGCTTCTATTGGCTAGTGTTCCAACACATTGTAAGTGATAGGTTAAGGGGCGGGACATCTCTAAGCGGTTGACCAATCACAACAGAGCCGACAAGCTAACCAATCAGAGCAGACTGGGCTCTGGTTTCAGACAGAGGGTGAAAAGAGGTGCTGCAGCACAGGCAGTATGAGAACATTTGTCATAGTCTGCTCCATCTTTCACCAGTAGTTTTCCATTCACCTGTCTCACCTGTTTTCCACACCCACTCGTTAGCTCACTCTCTTTCTCTTCTGCACCCATTAGCTAGTATTTAAACCCACACCTTACACACACTCTTTGCCAGATTGTACTTTGCCTCATGCTTGTCTTTCCCACGTTTGATACCAGATTGCCTACCCGGTTCCGACCCTGCCTGTCCTCGATCTGCCTGCTCTGCCTGTTCCCTGATCCTGCCTGTATCTACGCTGACCGCCTCGCTTACTCCCTGACTCTCTGCCTGTCCCTGACTCACCTTCTGCCCGCTGTCCTCCGGTACGTTAAACTGCTCGGTTGGTATTCCTCAGATCCAGTGGAATCTCCAATAAAGTTTATTACCAATTCCCCTTGGTTTCTCGAGTGCTGCATTTGGGTTCTCCTTAAGCTTGTGACAACATTAAAGCATGGAGACATGTCACTAAATAAATATATGAACCTGAAAATTAGCATGATATAGCTCTTTAAGTGGCATAAAGACAACTTCCCTCTCGGGTGGAAAATGAAGTAGTTGTATTGTGTCTGGACTGCACCTTTACCAATACAATAAAAAAAAAGTTGTAGTACTTTAAATGTTTGCTTATTTTAAGCTTTTGTGCATGAATGTGTATCCTCATGCTTGATTCTACTTATTGAGAGTCACTTTGAATAAAAGCGTCAGCTAAATTAAATGTCGTGTGAAAAATTACTTTTCAACTGATGTTTATGTTTTTATTTTACATGCAAATGATTAAATCCATGTTTACTTGTTATTTAATTGCTGACATTATTACCGTACCAGTTTTCTTTCTTAAATGTTTGGAAAACAATTATGAGTGGGAAGATTTAAAGAAAAGTTTTCAGATATCGATTCCAGTGCTGCTGGTGCGGAGCCAAGGGAGGTTTTAGAAAGATTCCCCACAGTGAACCGGTTCTGCGTGTTGACAGAAACTAGGGCAAGGCGGGGGTGGACAGGTGAAGAAATATGTTTGACAGAGATGACAAACTCATTGATGAGGGATCACAGTAAGCAGTGGGAAAGTATGTGTGCAACTGGGGCAGGATCAAACAAGACGCTTGGAAATGTGTGTCATCATGCAGGAGTGTCACAGTCACTGATATGTAGTTTAAACTGCAGAATGCACATTTGCTCTAATACAATTCCTGTTAAAAAGGCATTTCAACAAGAGATCTTAAACTGAATTGGCCTGGAGTCAATATCTTAGCATGTGCAGAGAAAACAAGGTTTCAATTGTTTAATGAAAGAACCCTGAATTGTTGTCTGTTATTTGTTAGGCTTGTTGTACTCAGCTCTATAGACAGGGGTGCACATAACTGGTACGCAGGTTATGTGCGTAATCTGAAATGCATACCGTCACTTGTGTCACAAACAGTGTTGTGCTAGTTACTGAAAACCAGTAACTAGTTACCATTACTAGTTACTTCATTTAAAAAGTAACTCAGTTACTTTACTAGTTACTTAAACCCAAAAGTAATGCGTTACTGCGAAAAGTAACGTTTTAGTTACTTGCAAAAAAGGGCTCCCATTAATGCCCTTATAGCCTTCATTTCAGTACTGTTATTGCATTGGAGAATAATACAATCTGTTGATCAACTTGACATGCATTATATGCAATCTGGATTGCATCGATATTAGCTGGCTTTCCATTTTTGTATATTCTTTCTCCAGGTAGTTGGGAAAAGTTTTCCGTCCCATATGCCGTGTGCCGCCCGGACATGCTATCATGCTAACTAGCTCCCTGAAAGCGGGTGACTCCACTGTAGCAATAGCCTGCATGTGTTCTACAACATACCGTGCAATGGCTATATCCACTTTCCCCTGGCTAGCAGTCCCTTGGTTAAAATCCAGCCGCTGTTGCTTAGGTGGAGGTGGAGTGGCGTCGGCTAAGTCTCTGTGGTCTTAGCTACTAGCTTCGTCCCAGCATGTTGTTTTTGCATTTGTTTTAAGAGATTTGAATTACTGGTTTGGGCAGTAGATAGGATCTTTGACCCACCAGGACACAACTTACATTTAACAGAAACTTTATTTTCTTTGTGCTCGACAAAAGTGAAATAGTGAGAATATCTCCAGGTGGAGAAACTAGACTTGAGCTCCGCCGCCGCCATGATAGTCTTGTTAGTAAACAACACAAACACGCCCACAGCCCGTCTCCGCATGTGACACAGGAAGTATCTAAGTACATTTACTCAAGTATTGTACTTAAGTACATTTCTCATCTCTGTTCGCCTGGCTGTTGACTATATAAAAAAACTAACGCAGTAACGGAGTAACGCAACATGTAGTAACGATAACTGAGTTACTGAATTTAAGTAATGCGTTAGAGCACTAGTTACTGCCAAAAATAACGGCGTTACAGTAACGTGTTACTTGTAACGCGTTAGTCCCAACACTGGTCACAAAGCGCATTTGCGTACCGACGTAGGCTACTTGTGAAGCTTTTCCAGAAGGCGGTTAGATCACCGGACGACAGAGTCGGTCTCCGTGTGCACAGACAGGGCTGCTGTTAACGTCGGTCTGTACAACGGAATTGTGCCAAAACTACGCCAACCGGCTGCGGAGGGAGACTCCCCCCCTTCACTGGAGAACTGCGCTAAAACAGCTGATCACAACGTTCACACTCTGTGGTCACGAAGTACTCCACTAGCCGCCGACCCCCCCCCCCCCCTCTGTCGACTTTCCTGAAGTACTCCCCCGTTGATAGAAATCAACACGTAATGAATTAAAACCCCACGGTTTGATGATTGATAGGTGTGTGGGTTGTCTTTCATTTTGACACGCAGAAAAATGTTATAATAAACATAGATACTGTATGTCAAATGGATATATCCGCCTTCTTTCATTTATCTTTCCATTCCCACAACAATATACATAAATAAATGGCATATTTTGGACATAGTTCGAATGGTGATTAATCATGATTAATTAATTTTTAAACTGTGATTAATCTGATTAAAAATTGTAATCGTTTGACAGCCCTAGTATATATATGTATATGTGTATATATATGTATATCGATGTATATATATATAAATATACATATGTATATATATACACATGTATAGTACATTGTTAGAACATTATGCCCTACTATTCTTTAAACGTTTTCAGCTGCAAGTTAGATTTTTTTATGTTGCCAGAATGTTATTATTTTAGAGTAGGATAACGTGCTTTATCGTTCCGATTTATCAGAAGTCTTTTTCTTTTCTTTTTTTAAAAAAATTCGACCAGCAGCTAGTACAAGTCACTGTCGGTGTCACATGTACTGGAGGGGACCCAGAAACCGACTCTGAATCAGCTGGTGAAAGTAACATTTGTTTATTAGAAAAGGGGAGCTGGGAGTAGAGGTTGGTTATGGCGGCAGTGGGAAACAGTTGTTCCAGGGTGGGTGGAGAGGCCTGGCTGGTCTTGGGAGTGTGGAAGGCCTTGGATTCCTACTGGGAGAGATATACAAATAAGTGTGAGGCAAAAGCAGGCAAAGTTGTCAAAGAATATGCTGGTAAAAAGCTAGAGCAGCACGCAACAAACCGGCAGGGAATGAGTGCAGGCTGCAGGCTTTCATAGTGTGGCTGATGAGCAGGTTGCAGGTGTGGTTGATTAGAGATTGCTCCCAGCAGTGTGGAGCAGCCCAGCAGGCAGAGAGAGAGACACACAGTAGAAACAAACACATACAAACACTAACAGGGGTTTCAGGGACGGGCAGTGACAGTCGGTCCGTTCTTCTATATGTCTGTCGGTCTCAAATCTAAAGGGTGCAATAACGATTTGTATCCAATATGCATAAACAGCGGACACTGTTTATACGTAGCCCTCACAAACCACACACGGCCAGATAGCTTATCTAACAGTTAGAACCTAAATACGAGACACAACCTTTATAGTCAGAAATGTTTTTGATTATTTTCTGATATTTTACACATATGATATTATGAATACTGTGGGCCTACATACCTTAGTGTGATTATAAGTGCATGTGAGTGAATATTGGCATGCATAAATTCGTTTTTATACGTCCTATTCATTGTCTCAATGCACTCATACATCTTAAGAAAGTTATCACCAAAAATGTTAAGAATGTTTTTAGAGAACTTTATCCTACCTTTCAGAAGAACATTCTGGGAACCAAAATAAAACGTCCCGCTGAAAACATTCCTAGAACAACGAATGGTAACAAACATTTCTAGCTGGGAACTCACACATGCCACCGCAAACATGCAATATCTGTTTACAGCTAATCATGAATGACGTGCTTGTTTGTTTTTTTCAAAAGGAAAATATGGTGACATCAGATTTTTTTTAAAACATCCTTTTCAACAAATGCAACAAGTTTGTTTTTTAAAGCGCTCTAGAAATAAATCTGACATTGACCATGACCGTGTTAATATTTGCCATAACAGGAACGTTTTATAAAAAAAGAATAACATCCTGAAAACATTTTCAGAATGTTTCTTGGAGAATATTCTTCATTTGTTATCATGTAACATTGAGGGAACGTTTTATAAAAGAACATCTTTAATGTGTTAACCAACAACGTCCAAAACACATCCTTAGAATGTTGCAGGCAAAACGTTCCACCTTTGTTAACATATCACATTAAAGGAACATTTTATAAATAAACTTTCTGTCATCTCAGGCCTCAATAACATCCTGAAAACATCCTCTGAATGTTGCAGTTAAAACGTTATGTCTTAGTTAACCTTAAACCTTATAGGAACATTATTTGAAATAATAAACATCCTAAAAAGGTTATTTGAACATCAGATTAAAACGTTTCTTTAAAACATGATTTGAACCTGTAGGTAACGTTAGCCAAAGTTGTGAGAACGTTACCCGCTAGCTTGGAAGGAGAACACTTACTTCCGGGTGTAAAATTCTCCGTTATCCAATGGGAATGGCCTTTAACTGCCGCTGACATGGACGGATGCGGTGATTCCCTGAGCATCAAATACCGCCGCCGATGAGAATACATTGCAATCAGTTGAAAGCTCTTTGCATCAGTTTATGAAGCTGAAGGCGTGCGTCACAACTGCACGCCAAAGGACCCTGACCAAGCGTCGCTCTTGGACTATCAGGGAGTGAGACTGTGTTACCCTAACTAACTGCACTGACT